GTGATTACTAAGTGTGTTTGCAATGAGATGATTGGGAATGCAGGATGAATGCTGGTTTTGTGTTATGCATTTCGCAAAGCATTGCGTCGCTAAGCTAAGTTTATCTTGCTACAAGAGTACGTCGTGCTGGACTCGCGTTAGTTGATGTGCTGCTTTACAAAAATGCCCGCGGTGACCTAATATTTATCCAGCCATAAAAATTAGGTCATAGAGCGCATTTTGCTACTTGAATTCAGTTCCACAAAATAATGGAACATGAGTTCGAACGTAGTTCAAACTTACCTGTGAGTGCGCTTTACATATGAAACATATTTGTAACCATATATCTATGTCCCCAACGGTGTCATTTTTCTTCCTTTTAATAATTTGTCTGTGAAATTTAGTAAGCATTTTCCAAGCGTCCTCATTTCACTCATCGACCACACATCCAGTGTGTTTTATCTATTGTTACACTGTACATAAGCGTACCGCCGTACGTGTAGATGTTGTTGGTGTCTGAAGGACTTATCCGGCCCCGTTCTGCCCTCTCCATGCGCTGACCTGAGAGAACCGCTGTGCACCTGTACCCGCGCTGGCCGTTGTGTCGTTCCGTGTTAGCTGTGCGGTGACAGGTAGGCTGTCCTCCCCAGTTGTCTGTGCCGGCCGCCAAGTAGCGGCTGACGGACCGGGCAGGGCCGACCGGCGCCGTGTGGCTGGTAGTGCCTGCCGGCCGGCCAGAGGCGCCTCCCGCGGCCGTCAGTCAGGGCGTTCGAGCCGGCCTCGAGCGCTGCGTCGCTCTGGGTGTGCCCCACCGGCGGTAGCTCCCCTCGCGCGGACTGAGCAGGTCTCAGCCGCTCCCGCACCGCGCTCCGTCGGATAGGGTTCCACTGGGCCCCGCCGGGCGACTAGCGTGCCACTAGGGGTGCATGCAGTGGTTTAGTCTGGATCTGCATTCTTTTCTCTTCCAATAATACACGACAAAACTCGCACTGTGTTTGGCATGAGCAGAGTGATCACGTTCCAGACAAACGGGTCTGATATGCTGACCTATAACGTAACTAGGGAGCAAGCTATTGAAATCGAGCTCTACAGGCGTTGCTATATAGGCATTATACAATTCAGACGGTGTCATACAGCTCAGATGCTGTTTTGCATGGCCATGCAATGCTGTAAGACATTAATGCATTCCCTAGGCTGCATTCAAGCAAGCACCGTTCAATGTGACTGCGATAACCTCTACAGATATCATGCGTAACTGGTTAGCGCAATGTTTTCACGCTAATATTAGTATGCATATCTTGCGATGTCAGTGCAAGTTTGCATAAGATAGGGGGACACTGATATTAGTTGCACTAGTGCGTGTCCCGATGCTATCATAGTTTCATGATAACCGTTTGTTTTGTATCAATCTCGTTCTTCACCCGTTGTGCACGGCTTTCGCAATCGCGCGACGCACCGCGCGACGACCTGCGCACCAGAGCCTAGTCACAGAACCCTCACCCTACCGGCCCGACTCACCATCTCGGAAACCCGCCGGCTGACAAAGACAGCAAACACCGGTCTTTTGATCGGCGTTTTGAACATTCAAAGCCTGAAGCCAAAACTACTAGAACTCACCGAAGAACTAAACCGTCACGATTTCGACGCCTGCCTCCTGGCCGAGACCTGGCTGCGCCCTTCTACTCCAAATCGACTTCTCGTGATTCCCGGCTACTCTCTCAGCCGAGTCGACCGACCAGACGGCAGCGGCTACGGTGGGGTCGCCGTACTGTCAAAAACGGATATGAAAACTGTGACCATCAAACCGAGCGCATCCCCGCACCCCGGCAGTCTCCTGGAAACTCGGTGGATGTTGTTCAAGCTCGAACGAAATCGCCAGTTAATTGTATGCTCTGTGTACCGGCCGCCCCGACAGACCGATGCCGCTCTGCGAGCGGACTTTTCGGACCTCGAGACGCAGTTACAGCGTGTACTAATTGATTTTCCCAAGATTCCATTTATGATCTGTGGCGATTTAAACTGTGATATGTTGAAGGAGGAGAGTTTTCGTGCGCGTGTACACCTCAGTGACTTTTTATCGAATTATTCTCTTGAGCAGCTTGTAACCGTTCCAACGTACACTTCCGGCTCGTTGCTAGACGTCTGTATGGTTAAAAATAGAGAGCTTGTGCGTGATTGCTCTGCATCCTTTTGCCACTTCAGCCCACACAAACTCCTTCGTGTGTCTATTAACGTTCCGAAACAACGCAAAAATCCTACAGTTGTTCAATCCCGCTCAATCAACCGTATAGATGTCGACGCCCTGAACTCTGACCTGATGTTTGCCGATTGGGAGGGCGTGTTTAGTGCCACGAACGTAAGTGACCAGTGGGATGCTTTCCTGACCGAATTTCTGCCGATTTTTGACGATCACGCACCTATAAAGAATATTACCATCCGTAATCCTACTGCACCACCAGTTACCCCCGCCACACTTAAAATCATGGATCAACGTCGTACCGCGTTACAGCAGTTCGGTAGAAAGTCAGAGGTTTACAAAGACTTAAACCGAACTGTCCGGGCCGCAGTGCGACGAGACCGACGCGGCGAACTTCACAGAGAGATAAGTGGGCGGGGTCCCAACAAGGTGTGGAAAAGTATTAGGTCGGTTGTGGCTGGTAAGAAAGACGGACCTAGTGTTCAACCTGATGTATCGGCTGACGTTTTAAATTCTTTTTTCGTTTCTGTGGGTCCCCGCGTCGCTACAGAGATCCGTGACCAAAATCCAGTTGTTGAGCAAATTGGCCGTTTGCCGCGTGTCGTAACCGGTAGATTTAAGCCCAGACCTATCTCTCTCAAATGACGTTCGCTCAAATGACACTCGCTTAAGTCGCTCGCACCGATCTCTCTCGGTGAACTCGGTCACACAGTTTTCAATATGCGCAATTCTGCCGCCTGTGCGTCTGATGGCGTCTGCATTCGCATGCTGAAAACTGCTTTCCCATCTATAGGTGACGTTATCCTTCACATCATTAACACCTGCATCTCAAGGTCCGATATCCCCTTTCATTGGAAACACTCTATAGTTCACCCCATCTTCAAGTCTGGAAACCCATCTGATCCCACTAATTTTCGACCTATCTCCTTAGTACCTGTCATTATGAAGGTGGTCGAGCGAGTCATTCACAAACAGCTCTATCGCTATCTCTCCCAAAACCATCTTCTGGCCAATACCCAGCACGGTTTCCGACCCCGGCACTCAACTGAGACAGCACTTCTGTCCGTCAGTGACCAAATCCTGGCCGCCACCGATAGGGGGGATGTCTCTATGCTATGCCTTATTGATTTAAGCAAATGTTTTGATGTCATCAACCATGAGTTATTACTCGCTAAGTTGGCAATGCACGGCATAGAGACATCCTGGTTCGCCGCCTATCTCCAGGGTCACACACAGAGTGTGTCATTGAAGGACGAGTCCGGTCGCCGGGTATTATCACAACCTCTCCCCAACTCTATGGGCGTCTTTCAAGGCTCGGCACTTGGCCCCTTACTCTTCACGGTATTTTCCAATGATCTATCACTTTATTCTGAGGATGCAACAGTCTTCCAGTACGCTGATGATACTCAATTGTTGGTGAGTGGCCCTTTAAACGACCTTAGGGGACTCATCTCGCGCTTGGAAGCGTCACTGGCGTCTCTCGACCATTGGTTCAATGCAAATGCTCTAAAAGTAAACACTGCTAAAACTCAGCTCATGGCTTTCGGCAGTCGGCAAAATTTGAGAAGCATGCCTGCTTTCACCGTTTCTTTTCGCGACACCAAACTAGTGCCATGCAAGCAGGTGGGCAACCTGGGCGTTATCTTCGACGGCACCCTGTCCTGGGACGCGCATGTGTCCGAGCTCAGTCGCCGGTGCACGGGTCTCCTAATCGGCCTCTCCCATGTCCGCCACTATCTCCCCGACGGTGTCACCAAGACACTAGTGGTGGCTCTCGTCATGTCACGGATCCAGTACTGTCTCTCCGTATTCGGTAATGGTAGCCAAAAGAACTTCGATCGCATTCAGAAAATTCTTAACTTTGCCGCTAGAGTCATTTTCGGTCGCCGTAAATTTGATCATGTCTCCCATCTCCGGGACCAACTCGGCTGGATGGCACCTAAAACAATGGCTGAATACCATACTCTTATCACGGCGCACAAGGCCATCCAGAGAGGTGAACCCGAGGAGATTGCGACCCTATTTTCCAAAAATTCCCAAACACGAGCAAGGTCTACTCGCCAAGACCACCTTTTCCACTTACCGCGACCCCGACTAGAGACCGGAAAACGTAGATTCGCCTACCGTGCCGCGGCGCTCCTAAATACTCTCCCCCTCGAGCTAACGCAGTTGCCTCCAGCCAGGTTTGCCCGTGCTGTAAAAAAGGGGCTTAAGCCTAGCCAGAGTAGCCATAGTAGCTAGCCTCATGACTCTTGGACTATGAAAGGCAAACGAGTCTGTGTGTATAGTTATGAACGCGGCTTCGTGCGGGTTACACCAAGTATGTGCGTGTTCGGCGTTCGCGTTGTGCATTCTCGTATCCGTAAGTGTGTGCGTTTTCTTGTGTAGGTATTTCTTGTGTTATCTTTTACCAGCTCGGACTCGGAGTGTAATCGCCACGCCGATTGTGGATTGCTCTTGATCGTCAATACATACATACATACATACATACAATCTCGGGGCCATGCGGTACAGTATACCTTCAGGCGCCCACCCGTGCTGCCATCTAGCGGGAGAACTGTTAGTCAGCTGACGGGCCATGCCTACCGCGGCTCTGGCACACCGGCCGGCCCGCCAGCTGGCGGAACAGGAGCAGAAGGAGAGGGAGAGAGAGAGAGAGAGAGAGAGAGAGAGAGAGAGAGAGAGAGAGAGAGAGAGAGAGAGAGAGAGAGAGAGAGAGAGAGAGATTTGCTGCTCACGCGCAGTCTTCATTCGTTCATCTTCGATGTTCGCTGTTGCACATGCGACAGCGAACGTCAAATGAATCAGTCGCCAAAAACTAATATTTTCCGTTGTCCCATTACTTCTTTTATTGATATAATTTATAATGCCTGATAACAGCCGCCTTTTTGCCACTGCTTCTTTCCCCAGTAGATACACAAAATAACACTGGAAGACAGAACTACCGCAGCATCAGCCAGCAGCTCCCATCCACATATGTCATGAGCCGAACCTTTGCAACTAAGCTTTTTTCATTCCACGGCATCTCGGCACCATTCACCAACCGTCTCCTTATCTGCCATCACTAGAACAGCTCATCAGCCGCCTTGTAAGTGCCATCACCGCCATCCCGGTAATAAAACAGACTCAGCTCGGGGTCCAACTCATCCCGCTTCGCCTTCAGCTCTCGCTCCTGATCGCCCGAGCCGGGCTCGGCCGCGAAAATCACGTCAGCCTCGAGAAAGGCGAACAGGTCCTCGGCGCTGTTGACGTCGACGTTGTCGTTGTACACGCTGATCTGAGTCCACGGGAACAGGTCGGGCAGCGGCATCACGCTCCAGAAGTCTCCCAGCTGGCTCGGCACCGAGGGCAGTATGTACAGGTTCTGACGCACCTCTTCAGTCACTCGCTTGTAGCTGCCGGCGAGAGGAAAAAGGCTGCGATAGAAACAGTCTGGAGAGAGTCCGAAACAGGTATCGGGGAATTAGTCTATAAAACTTGGATTTTATTGATGCAAGTCCGATGGCCATATATCAATATATATTAACACATGGTTTCCCGTGTGTAAATGGTTTTAACGCACGACGTGGATGGATTGGAGCACGAGTGTGTTAATGCACGAGTGAAACGAGTGCATTAACGCACAAGTGCTCCATTCCATCCACAAGTGCGTTAAAACCATTTATGCACGGAAACCATGTGTTAAATTAATTAATACATGCTTAACGGTGCGAATTTAAATTAAAATCAAGCTTAGTCCATGACAATAAAGGGGCCTTTTATGGGAATTCTTAGAATAAAGTCAATGACCCTTCCGAAAAACTTCAGTCGAGAAATTCATCACTGCACGCGCGTGCACCAATTTAAATTGGTGCACGGCTACCTTCGAATTAACGCACGGTTAATCTCCAGTGAACGCACCGTAAAGTATGTATTAATTTGGAATATACTGTAGTGTAGAAATATTGGTAATATTGGCCATGCATACAGGTAACGTCCTTGTTTTTAGTTCCATGGTGGTAGCTCTATTTAGTGAAATTCATAAGATTGCAAAAACATACCTATGTTTCCGCTAAATCGAAAGCATGGGATCGTTATGGATCGCACCATCGTATCTTCAGCTGCCCGATACCATTTACCATGCATTTTACTAAAGACGAGTGGTGGATGCGAACCACGCTATCTGCGCGGTAACCCGTGACCACGCAAAAAGGAGCGACGATGAATAACAAAGGATCACCCTCCCCTTATCTGTCTGCGCTTCGCCGCCCCACGCACCGATGAACTGGTCTGACCTTATTACCATTCTTCCTACACCATAACTCACGTGTCTGAACCGCATTGAGTAATCGTAAATCGACAGCTGGTGATCAGAGCTGCCGTTCATCTTGGACATGTTTCACGGGATAGAGTCAACAATTTATGAACCGGCTTACCACGTTTGCTCTACTTCCGAGATCCGCACCAACTGCGAATAGCAAGCTTAGCAAACCCTCCTCACCTTAAACATTAAATGGATTCAACATATTTTATGGATTCAACATACGTTCCGATTCGTGGCGCTCAATGTTTTGTAATACATTTTCCAAATTTAATTTTGCTCATTACTACGAGCACATACTTAAATACCACTAATACTCCAAACTCCACATCATGCCCAGTGCGTATCAGACCACCGGCCTTACTCACATTTCCTCCTCCTCTGAGATGGGCTCGAGCTCCTGGTACGGGTCGTCGGTAAGGTTATACAGCACGGTCCTGCCCGGACAGAGCTGGCAGTCCGCCGACAGGTACACCTTGTAGATGGACGGGTCGCCAGCTACCGGCGAATTCAGACAGCGTAACGAGCGGGACTGGCACAGCAAGACTCGTTCTGGACTGATGGGATACTTTTTATGTAGCATAAATCAAAATATTGTTGCACATAACTCGAAAAGATGAAAAGAAGCTTTGATCGGATCGTTAACTCCATTGCTTCGCAAAACATAAATGTTTCCGTAAGTACGATGAAAAAAGTAAATCACTTAGAGTCAATTTTCAACTTTGTCCGTCCCGATAATCGGACTATTGCAATGCCATTAACATTTTTTTGCCGGTTCTAATCTCTATCGTGGCCATAACACCCGAGTCCAGAATTGAACAATGCGGTTTCAGTAAGCCGTCAGTTCTGAAAGGCTTCAGATGTTTGAGTGGATATAGACAAAAGTTCTTATGTAACGGCCATTACCGTCCGCGCTCCGCTGACATTTACGGCAATATGTATTAACGTCCAGGAACGAAATGCAAGAGACCCACAATGCAAAATGCTGGAACATTTTTTTTTATAAATATGCACTTCACGTGTGCATATTTCCGTGTGGGAATCATTCATGACACGCTAGTGCTCGAATGAAACACTAAGCATATGTAGTAGACTCCTGAGCGTATTGTCAGCCATAGCGTCACAACCACTCATGCGCCACTCACCCCCTGGGAAGACGAGCGTGGCGCTGTCGGGCCGGAGTCCTCTGTAGTTAAAGTACCGGGTTAGACTGGTCTCGCCACGGGTCAGTAGAGGAAAGAACAGGCTGCGGCCATCTATCGTCATGTTCAGCAGCTCCTGTGGGATGTAAGCATAGTCGTAACAATTGCGAGAAGTGACAAAGTCTTACATAATCCGCAGCAATGTGGATGATATGCACTTCTGATTTGACACCTTAGCTGTTGACGTTACTGGACGTTACTTGACGTTGCTGGAAAATATAATCACAAAACCGTCATAACGTTAGATAGCACATATTCGTCAAGCAGATAATGAACGCTCTTATCTCCTTTACATGACGTGACCCTGGTCATCACCACGTGTCCCACCTCTCCTCTGCCGATGATGTCTATCAGGGTGGGCAGCAGGTCCAGTACAGAGGTCGGCTGGCGCATCACGTGCGGTTGCAGGGTGCCCGGCCACAGGAATATCCCCGGCACTCGACTGTCGGTGATGTTAGACACCGAGGATCCTGTGGGGGTCGGCGAACTTTGTAATCCGGGATAAGACATCTTATGAGTCGGTGATAGACCGCAAGCAACTCGCTAAATCCATCACGTTTCGGACCCGTAGTATTTCTGACAGCTGAGCGCGGCATTGTTGAAGAAGAAGCATCCGGATGACAGTCGCGGTGGAAATAAAATGAGTAACGTTACGATCCCGACCAGTCAAAAATCGCTAGTTCCCATGAGCATCATTTGATACAGAAAAAAGAACATAGTCAATCCAGCCGTCTAGTACTAACGAAATGACATGAGGTCGTTGTAGTCGGAGGCGAAATAGACGACGGTGTTGTCGAGGATGTCCAGCTTCTCCAGCTGGTCCAGGACGCGGCCGACCGCCCAGTCCAGCTCCAGGATGCCGTCGTAGTAGGGGTTGATGTTGCTGGCACCCACCCGGTGTGGCGCCGCGATACTGGGCTCATGCACCTGCGGCAAGGGCTCAGCATCAGCTATCAACACCAGAGGCAATAGGAAATGTGAGTTAAATCGCTACAACAGCTGATGCTGACCTACGGGATATGCGGAACTGACTTGAATAATTTAGTAGTAAATATATTTAACAATGTAATAATTTCCCATCGCATCCGAAGTTGAGTAAGCGCCTACTCATTCCTGTGTTTAAATCTAAACGATTAATTTAATTTGATTTGTTTTTTAAACGTTGAAGCACATACATTGTTTTCTTATGACTGCAACTGGCGGCATCATATCATCCTGGGAAGCATCTTCTGCATACCTGCCACAAGCCGGCAATATCGCTGAGGATTAATAAGGAAGCCCTATCAACCCCGGCTCGGCTGGCACCGTTCCACGTTGTGGCGACCGGCCTTCTCATTTTGCGGAGACAAAGCTGGCAGTACGGCTTAAATTTATGGCCGTCGTCGTAAACCAGCCAACAAAAACCCAATAATGTTCCGACAGGCGTCTTTGAAAATAATTTGCTGCAACTCATGACTTCTAGGGTCTAGCACGAAAAAGGCGGAAGTCTGGGTCACGATATTGAGCACCGAACACTGAAAAGTTAGTGTCTAAACTGAATTTTAGTGTGAAACCGTCGCTGATCTGTCCCATACTAAAATGATTTGGATCACAGCTGAATACTTATACTAGCTTTAAAGGGACAGTATCACCATTTTGATGAAATTTGACATTGCATAGGCCCCACCTTTCTGGTCCGGGAACTGAAGACCGATCCTCGAAGCTCCACACCGTTATCCCGCTATCGCCGCTCAAAGTACGAAAGGTGTACCACACTTTGAATCGTGCTTCACTATCTTCACTGTTTAAATGTTTGCGCCGTTTTGAATTGACCGCCAGTAATAAAACTTTTACCCTGGTCATTTCATCAAATTTTATAAAGCCAAAACGTTTTTCGCACTTATTCATCACCGTTAAATTCATTAAATAGTCGTAGGCAATTTCCGCTGTTTCCTTCGGATTCTAGCGGCTCAACAAAGGAATTCCTCCAGCTGGAATCACAATCTCCCTCCAATGTATGACGTTTATCACGTGATTGTCACGTGATATTTTCTCCCATTGTCAATTGTCACGTCCAATTGTCACTCCCTCCAATTGTCACGTTATATTTTTATAGGCAATACCTAAGGCTACCTCTCCCTAAGGACAACTCAATCAGAAGAACGACCGCGTAAGCGTAGCGTCAATAATGTATTATCTGCGCCAGTTCTGTAGTAATTTTGCATGCTTCCAAACTGGCGGCCATGCTTGTATAGTGGTGGTTCGCTCATGAAAATGAATCATGAAAATGAAATGTGGTTGCAATATTTTTCACCGAGTTCGGTCCTCAAACTATGTTTTTCTGATTCAGAAAAATAAGAAATGCTAGTAAAAAAAAAATCAGCTCCTTACCTGGATTTTTTTTTCGATGATACTGTCCCTTTAAAATAATCACCCACAGTTTAATAATTGCCATGGCTCTTCTCGGTATTCTAATGCTCGTAATCAGAAGCAATATTAAATTGCACCGATTAGCCAGTCGTGTCCCTCCCAACCATCCATCCAGTATCACACCTACGTGCAGGAAGGTATGCTGTAGCAGGAACGGCCTCCTGGCGCGGTGGTTGTCCCGGATAAACTCCAGCGACTCGGAGAGAATCGGCAGCGTCATCCCCTGCAGGGTGTATGGCCACCGCTCCACGGCGTCATCACGCACCAGCAGTGAGTCCAGCTGGTGACGCAGCGACTCGGTCAGCATCGCCCGCTCCTCGAGAGTCCTGACCTTGCCTCCAGCCCCGGCTCCGCGGCCGTCGTGCGCCGCCAGCGCCAGCCACTGATACCAGGCCGTCTCGGCGATCGGCTGATAGATGTCGCGCAGGTCTGTCCTGTTGGCCAGGGCGGCCAGGTAGGCCTCGAGAGCCCGCATGGGCACCAGCTGGCTGTAGGAGAGGTGGCCGCCGCTGGCAGGGGCGCCGCTCAGGGGGACGCCGTAGAACGAGTCGAATCCGTGCTGGAGCGGGCCGTGACAGTGGTCTGCCCACGACCGGCAGCCCCAGCCCAGCTCCCAGCTGCCTGCGACAGAGGAGCGGCGTCGGTGTTCCGGTCGGCTGTGACTCGGCTAGCGAGTTAGGCCTCCATTTATTACTGTAGTATTGCATCTCTAATTTACATCAATTTAAGCAATCAATAGATTTTATGCTATATAATTACTAAACATCAGTAGCTCGTTGAATTCATTATGTATGTAGTTGTATATCTTTTTCAAGCCCCATGCACCGAGTGACCTACCTGCAGCTTTAGTGCGATACCCAAACTTTTTAAAAACCTCTGCATATGTTTGTGTGTTCGCTGGCAGACCGGCACGGCTGAGGGTGTGTAAAATTTGCCGGACCCCGTCTTCACTTTCTTGAAGCCCTGCGACCGGATAAAGAGACAGCCCATCAAAAACCGTTACCACTCGCGCTAACAGACAACGCGAGGCTGACACATTTTAGTCAGCTTTTGCACACCTGCATTTTCACAAATAAATGCATCTCGGGAACTAAAACGGACATCGCTATTCAGCGTGTGCCAACGGAAACGCCGAAAAGAAGTGCATAACAATGCACGTACATGCATCCATACACATACATTTATCCATCCATCCATCCATCCATCCATCCATCCATCCATCCATCCATCCATCCATCCATCCATCCATGCATGCATTGCATAAATACAGGTATACATACCGGTGACCCGATTATGTACCGTACAGTTAGTCCACACTCCACAGTCCCGTGTCCGGTACATGCATGTGTGAAAGTATAGCCATGTTATATCATCCATGGTATAGCCTTGCTTTAATTGCATCAAAATAAAAAACTTCTCCACTGTTACACCACATCCATTCCATCATAGGTCAAGGTAGGTATCTGATAGCTCGATAGCTGCATTAGCATAACTGGTTCTCACTGTCGTTAAATAATGCACGTAATGCAAATCAATACCTTTCTAAGTTTCATGCAAACTGCTGAATGAAATGAAAGGTAATTTAGCTTGTTTTCCCGCGAAGAGATAAGTCTTCAAACTATGCATCAATAGCAGCAATGGTATTTTCATTTTGACATTTAGTGCACCGATATTAAATTAACAAGCTGCTGCTGCAATAGTGGCACAGCAGCTTGGACATATATCAAATCTGCTGAGGCTCTATTCGCCACAAAAACAACTTGTGAATGCAAAACACCTCTGTATGACAACGTGGACATTCCTGAAGGAAAGCTCGTTTAGCTACTGAAAACAGACTCCCACGCTGCTGACACTGCAATGCGAGTAGATCCGACGTCTCAACGGACACTTACGACGCGCTTTTGAAGAGAAATGCCTTTGCCTTTCATATTTGAAAGGCAAAGCAATGCCTTTCATATATCAGCCTATCAATGCCTTTCATTTCATATATATAAAGGCAAAAAATGCCTTTGCCTTTGCCTTTCAATGCCTTTCATATATCAGCCTGGCGTCTGCCTGGATTACGCTGGGCCTTAATGTCACCGGTTTTTGTTATAAGCCAGTCGCCAGACTGAGTCGTGGGTGCATTGCTCAGCGAGGAGACGTGCACCGCTTTGGAGTGTCAGGTGTGCATACTAATCGTGCATCGTGCAGTGTTTGCATCGTAAACGTACTACAGTCTGCACGAGCGAGATGTTGTGCATGCACTTGCACATCCGTCTGAGACAGGAAGTCGGGATCATGTAACACACGACAACACTGTATGCTTCGACAATATAACACTACAACATTACACGGTTAAAGCGGTGGGAGAATATACCGTCGATACTTGTCACTTTACATATATGCATTACACATTTAACATGTAAACATGTAAAAGTATCGTAACTATTTAACCATCGTATCTAAATTCTATGAATGAGGTTTGTTTATCGGAAGTTCAAATGGCATCATATAAGCTATCTTGTGAGCTGCTCGGCATCGAGCACAGAGTCCACCATACCCAATAGTGGCACCGTGAATAGAGCTTAATTAACGTACCATATCGGAAGGGCAGTTGACCGGTGATGTGGGCAGCCCTGTTAGCAGTCAGGGTCAGCGCCGGGACAGTGTGGTGCTGAAGGAGCGCTCCTCCAGACGCCAGCCTGCAATACACGAAAACGGATTTACTTGGCTTTCCGAGCCCAAGATGTAGATTGTAGAGTTATAATTATTTTATTCGTCGTCGTTAAAAGGGACCCTCCCGGCTCCCGTCTTCAAAAAGTTAATGAATTGACATAAAAGTCGTGGTTCAGAAAGATGCAAAATAAATATCTATCTATCAGGGATGGTCTGCGGTTGGTCGGAGCAGCCGCAGCCAGCTGAAGTCAGTTGAGTGGGACAGGCCGTGTCCGGCTTTGAAGGGCACGTTAAACTTTGGCACTTAAAATCTCCTGTTACCCGGAATTACGCGATCGGAAGGTAGGGGTAGGGGTCTGCGCAACAAGCTCTGCTTAGCATAGACTCCAGCTTTGTCAATCCGTCCATTCAAGCATTCGAACCAAATCTATAAAAAAATGTGTCAAGGTCAACTAAAGGTCACTCGAGGTTACGAGAGGCCAACATAAAACTTGACCTTTTCCAAACAAAATATGTGTCTTTCGAAGCGTCTGGACAAGACGAATGCGTTGGTACCATTTCCGTAGTTCTAGGGCCATTTTTTAAAGTTATTTGCGAAAAAGTAAAGCCCCAGCTCAGGGTCGTTGACCTGACCTATGATCTCAGGTCACCAAAACTATTTTTCTGTTTTCCCTAGGTCAAACGCTGCACAACCGTGCTTGTAATTATCTTTATCTCTAAAACTCTACTTTTGGCAGCCATTTGAAGTTCACGTCTGTGACGCCGAAGTTTGCCGGGCAGTGCTCTAGAAAAACGAACCTGTGACATCATCAAGGGGGCTAGGCCTAGGTCCAATTTGCTTGCTCAGAAGGTGTCAAATCGATGGGGGAAAAGATACTGAAAGTTTCGCTTTCCTATCCCTAAGCGTTCGGGAGCTATCGCCAATATTCGCCAAGGAAGGGGGCGAAAAACGCCCCCTCCGGGCCCACGAGAGTTAAATTCCAGCTGGGAAAACGTCTTCAATAATGATATGTGCCGCTTTTGATTGATGGATATAATTGAATGCAAATGCCATCATAGACGCCCGCGCGATAAACCTCTTTGTCACCTATGTAATTTGTTTCACACTGGAAAGAGACGAAAGAGAGAAAATGATACCAATAAAAACAAGCTGAGCTGTGCAACAGGTTTTTGTTCGGCGATAGATGGTATCTGAATGTCATTGGTCTACCAATATGGGACAGCGTCCCAATCTGATGACAGTGCGGTTTTCAAGGCTAGTCGAGAGCGGACGCCAGCCAGCAGCCTTGGGCATCCAACAGGATTACAGGGAGAGGACGAAAGTAGCACCAATCCGCATTGTCCACGGCTGCACGACAGCGCTAGCGGTACGGCCGTTAGCGAGCGTATGCCAGTGCCTTCTGACATACGGGGTGTGGATGCAAGGACACAGAAGCTCATTGTCACTATCGTCACGGGAGCATACACCATACCGTCCATATCAGTTAGCTCTCGTAAGAATACCAACACGCCCTTAGGACAATGTCGAATACAGTGACTAGCAAGACTTGAAACTTCTATGCAATGGAAAACAGACCGAAATTGAACTCCAAAATATGGAAGAGTTTAGCTTCATTTCACATGCAGAGACCACATTCCTTTCAACAGACATCGAAGGACGTGCCGTTGCATATCAGTTCGAGTTCATAGATACTCGATCCAGCTAGGACTGGCCTTGTGGAATGTATAAAGGCTCCGACTGCTTGCTTACATTGCGGTGGATTCATGAGATTCTTTGGTGAGCTTTGGGAAGCACCGAACTTCGCCAGGAACCTTATAATGGTGAAATACACAGGAGTCCATCTGCATCGGTGACTCGGGGGAAACGCCGTGTGAAGGAACATTTCCGCACATCTACCAAGCGTATTATGTGAGCTGATTTTGTGGATATGGTTTGATCTCTCATGAGAACTGCACCTTTTCAATTCTATCCATTCAGATATTTGAGAGAAAAAAAAACTGTTAGAACTCTTCATTTAACCCGCGCCCAGATGGGGTCTGCCGAGCAACGCGGTCTGATGGGGGGGGGCCATTTTGGCCCCCCCCTCAGATCTCGAGAACCACGCAACATAGCGACAAGCGGTAAACGGTGTTGGATAGCCCCAACGGGGAACTACCTTGTGACCCAATTTCATTGACCTCGGTCAAACCGATGACGTCACAGGTCAGGTCAAAGGTCGAATTTTCACCGTTAACAGGCATTTCAAGAAATGCGTTGTAAAATCGAGTAAAATGCATTTCATTGAAAATCATCGATGGGGAAATGTTCTTCAAACACATAGTTTGCTATTTGAGGTCACTGATACCAGGTCAGGTCACAGAGGTCAGGTCACTGGGGGGTCACAATATGAAAGTGTCGTGTGATACATGTTTTATGGTCCATTTTACATGACAAATGCGATTATGTGGGTCAGACAGACTTTAGGGCCAGCTTAGGTCACGTTTTGGTCAAGGTCAGGTCAAGGTCAGGTCAAGGTCAGGTCAAATTAGGTCAAATTTCAAAGTTGATATTTTTGCATAAAATGGGTATCGATTCGATGCAGCTCGTCACGGGGAGTTCAATGGTGGTCTCCGTTTTGCGCTACGAGGTCTAGAATTGCTAAAAATTGAGTTCAAAAATTTGACGTCATCAATTTTTAACAGTTTTTTCACTATAACTTGGCCAAAAAAAGAGGCATCGATCTAAAATTTGGTATGTATATCGAAGAGCGCACGGACTATCACATATATTCCGGTTTTTTCGAAATTCGAAAATTTTTTGGAAATTTTTTGAGTTTTTCTAAAAAAATCATTTTTTTATTTTTGGGGGTCAAAATCCCAAAATTTCGAAAATCCGAGATAGCAGTTTTGTAGCGCCGTCTTTTCTCTACACAACCACATAAAGAACTTTAAAATTGCTTGTTAACTGTAGAATTTGTGAGCGTTTAAAGATGTCATGTTTTTTGCTCATTTTTACTCGAACATGACCTCAGTTTGACCTCAATAACTCCTGACCTGAGGTGACCTGTGACTTGAAATTTTGTGTGAAGGTGTCAAATTGATGCCCGGTAAGGTACCCAAAATTTGGCGGCGCTGCGCGCCGCCGTTTTCTCGCTATTTAAGAAAAACCACAGGGGGGGGCCAAAATGGCCCCCCCCATCAGGGCGCGGGTTAAGACACTATCTTGCAAGAGCATCCAGCGCGAAGTAATAAATCATATGCATAATGTGCTATTCTGTACTTAACTATACTTATAAGAACACGCATTTATTTCAACCATAGACCTCTGTATAAACAGAGGTACTCTGTATACACACCTCTGTATACAGAGGTCTATGTTTCAACCACAACATTCGAGAGCAAAAATTTCCTATAGGTGACCGTTATATTCAGTACCAGAAGAGAACACCATCAAAACACAGTTACAGCCGCTGGTGGATTGAAATGCCATCATCTCATGTTCCCCCTCTCTAACCCCATGTTCCGCTTTGCACATCGACACCGATTCGATCTTAAACGGCTGTAATGATTGCAGATTTACCTGGGCGGATGCCTGTGAGACAAGTGTCTGTTTATACGATCTGTGACACCTCCAGCCAGGGGCGTCGCCGACGGGGGGGTCGGGGGGGTCGCGACCCCCCCACTCGTCAGAACCGGGGGGGTCGACCCCCCCACTTTTGGCGATGCTGAGTATGCTTTTTTAGCTATCATGTCAGGGAAGTTGGCGTCAGCAACATCAACAAATACCACGTCAGATTCAGAATCGCTTCAAGAGCTCCCTAGTCCCTATTGCTTATAGGTCAATAAGCTGTGGGCTACAACATCAGCATGACAATATGATTTTAGTCCCTTTTTATCCCTCAAATGAGCGAGCGCTTCAAAACTGACCCAAGCGTTCGTCTGATTGTCAAAATAATGGTTGCAGTCGATTCATCGGATGACGTATCAGTAACTACGAGGTACCTGGCTAGCCTCAGCCCTGCTACCCTCGGACCTGCCTGCATAGGGGAAATGGGGTCAGATGGTGGATCCCTCTGGGGCTTTCCTAATAAGACGCGCAAAAAGGAGTATATTGCAACGAAACTTCCAGTGACCCCGAGTTAATGAATTTTACACCTATTCTAAAAAAAAATTGGCCCTGATTCGAATATGGATGACCTTGGTAAACTTTTTTGAGTTTTATTTGCTTCCACTTACAAGTGTGGTTTTTGGGGCTGATTTCGAGTTTAACCCTATTCCTGGCGGGCTCCGCCGGGACAAGAAACTGGCGGGGGGGGGGGCCGATTCGGCCCCCCCTTCAGATCTAAAAAACTACACATCACAGCGACAAACGGTAAACGGCATCGGATACGCACGGTCAAGATCTACAATTTTTACCAAGGTCATTTTCAGGTCAGGTCAAAGATGACGTCACAGGGGTCGAAAAAGTCAAAATGGCGGCGCTAGATATGGAAAGTTTTTCTCGAATAACTTTCGAATTAGTCAAGATAGGAACAAACTAAGGGCATCATCGTGATCCTCTCGTCAATCCGCATCGAATGATATATATGTTGACCTCGAAAGGTCAAGGTCAAAGGTTGACCTCAGGTCACGTGACCTCGAGGTCATTATGTATATCATTCGATGCGTCTTGACGAGCTGAACACAATGAGACCATCCACGCGTCTGTATCTTGTTCCTGTACGGAGTTATTGGCCAAAAACCTTTGGTGACCTTTGATGACGTCACATGACCTCACAGCTGCCCAACAGCAAAACAGACCTCAAGGTAGTGAAGGTTGATCGTATATGAAGTCATGTATGGTATATGGGGCCATTCCGACCCGTTTTAGTGGTAAAAACAGGGAGTTGATTTTCCCCCCATTGACTTATAATGGGGAGGTCGCGAGACTGACCTGACCTTAGGTCACCGATATCAAAATTTCGAGATAAACAAATTGCACATACTGGTACCCTAACTAAAGCCTGAAGAGAAGAAATTGATCGGTCAAAAACTCTAGCTCTGGCGT